TAGTAGGGAAGAAGGGAATCTAATCAATATATATATATATATAATCCATGTATGACATAGTCCGTAATTCCCCACTACTTCCCAGTAAGTTTCCAAGCTTCGTATATCCTGCCAAGGAGCTGTGAATCCTTTTTAGCCCAGGACTTGAGGCAAACGTGAATCAAAAAGTCCCTGCGCTGGTGAGGTGGTCAAGGAGAGCCTTGAGGAGTTTGCCGGACTGCTAGTGAGGACCTGGGCTTGCTGGATTTGGCACTTTGGTGGAGCGATAAGGTGAAAGGTTTGGTAGTCTAGGGACTTCAGTGCTTCGGGTTTCGTGGATCTCAGTTTCCAGGGTCGGGGCGCTTAATCTAACGGAGTACTCGAAAGTCAAAAGGGCGTCGAGGAAATTACCCAATTCTGGGATATGCTTTCTGCAGGCACCTCCATAACTGTGTTGGTGTCGTTGCTGTTGCTGTTAAGGAACTTATTTTAAGTTACCATATCGGGTATCCATAGCCACGGACCACAATAAATGTGGTTCCCCTAGTGTGGTAGTTTACATTAGGTTCCCTAACGGCAGCACAGACAAAGGATCAGAGCTCCTTATTCCAAACCCAGGGGCGCACGTCAGGAGATAACGCATCCATCCGGGTTTAGGGTTTAGGGGTTAGGGTTTAGGGTTTAGGGTTTAGGGTTGGATGTTCCCGATGAACTGCTCTGGAACAGCGCAGGGCGGGCTGGCTTGAACATGGTAAACTTCACCCTGGTAGAGGAGATATGGCCCATTCTGGTTCGAACATCCAACAAACACACTGACTCACTTCAATGCCTTGGGATGGGACTAATGTGGAGCTTTCATGAAGGAGTATGGCCTTACCTCCTTGACACGTGCTTCACAAGGTTCTGAATTGCTCTGCAGGAATCTCCACTTCATTGGAGGCCTCACCTACGGCAGTGTCTTCGGCGAGCTGGTTATGCTTGGCGTGCAGGCCACGGACTGTATGAGCGCCAGGGATTCAGGATTTTTGTGGCTTTAGACGCGTCAAGGCTTCACGCTTTAGAGTTGAATAGGCTTAGAGTTTCCAATTTATTTTCCATTATCCCTATATAACCCCTTATACTCCCCATTGTAATATAATAGTTTCCATTTCATTTAGCAGTACAGGCAGGGTGGCTTAACATCCAGACAACAGCCGCTGCAGGGAGATCCAGGTGAGTAGGCTGTGATGTAGTGCTGCGGGGCCTCCCATGGCAGCTTTCTACACGATGACACCAGATTTCTCAACGTGGTTACCATGTCGTAGAGACTGGCATTTGCAGGGAAAGCTTTCCAGAAGTAAAGGTGGCACCAACGTGTTTTGCAAGCTTCTTGCGATAAGATTTGTTTGGTTGGATTGGGAAGCAACAGTTTTCGGGCCCTTGCTTTCCTCGTCCTCGTTCCCTGTAAACTTATTCGCTCCATGGATGATTCGAGCTTTGTAACACTAGGAACAGGCCCGGTGTATACTACAGCCCTAGGGCAGGGTGACTTTGTCTGCCTTCATTTGTAAGACTTTTGAGTACCAAAGCCGTGATGGTGGGTCCGCTTGTTGTGATGAGCAGACAGGACACGCCATGACCGACTTCCAAACACATAACCTGAGGACAGGCCCCGGAGAAAACGTTGCCAGGTTCACAGTCCGCCACCCCTGCCTCATGGTCTTATGCCCTGGGTCTAAGGGGGAACTTCGACACAGCAATTCTAGAGCTTCTGCAGTGAATTTACCACACAATCAACTTCTCGTGTGTTTCAACCCTATCTATCTATCTATGTATGGTGCAACATCCTGTTTCTTGCTGCCAGTCGAAGCGCACCGCCTCCATCATCGCTAGCTCGACTTGCTGCACCTGGGAGGCGGATGCAGGGCTAAAGGCTGCTGAGGTCATGGTTTAAGCGTGCCTGTGCACTGCAGCTAAAACTCTGTATCTATATTCCCGCTTGTGTAGATAGAATTTGGGTAGATGAGGATCTTACTATAATATACCCAATGCCATATTCTATCTACTTAAGGGGGACTATAAATTACTTTCAGACTCTTGATGACATGTAACCATACAAGAGATTAGGTGCTGTACAAAACCCTTGTTTGGGGCGGGTACATTGCTTGCTCCGCCTGGATTTCCAACACATAGGCTTTCGGGAAGGATTCACAAGTACTGGGGAATGGCAAGGTTGTTGTGATGCTTGTACTGTAGTCTCCTTAGGAATTATTGTCAATTTTGTATTATAGTATAACCCTAGGGAACTATTAAAAGTAATGTTTTGTTATAGGTCTAAGGAGACTACAGTGTAGCTTCGTTGAATTTGTCAGTAGAGATCTGCAAAAGGAACGCACAGTACTAGGATCCCCCACAACTACTGACAACTGCAGTTTTTGTGTTTGAGGGTGCGGGCAGGTGGAGCCATACTTGCAACCCTAACCCCTAAACCCTAGAGCCTGTACCAACCCCTAGCCAAAATCTGTCAACCCTAGTGTGCGCAGCCAGGTGGTCTGGGTTCTTACCTTTGGTTAGCTAGGAATGAAGGAAGGGATCCTTATAGCAGTTCCTACATAAAGTAACCCATTATAGTAGTGTCCATTACCTTTTCCACGTCTTCATTCCCAGCTAACCAAAGGTAAGGGTTAGGGTCTAGAGTGCCAGGGCAAGTTCTGGCATTTTCCCGACGCTGGCCTATTTGGCTCAGCACTTCACAAGTGCAGAAAAGGTAGGTCATGAGAGCCCAACTAATGCATTCTGAGGGTTTAGGGTTTAGGTTTTTAGGGTTTAGGGTTGATTCTAGTTGCAGAGCACAGGCCACTTTGAGGCAGAGCTACTTGACAGCCATGGCTGCCACCATCACATCCCTTAAGCTGTGCGCAGGCAAGATATACACTGGTTCATCTAAACCTTATCTGATACCTTGTATAATATATCTCTATATAACTGGTATATTATCCTTGGGATCCCCAGATGATCTCCCGAGAGCATCAGAAGGCAGCGTGAGCTCCTTCTCAAGTCATGGGTGACAAGCACAAGCGGATTTGCTATGGCTTCCAGAAGTGCGAGTTTCCTCACATCAGGTTAGGTTGCACAATCACTGACTGCAAGAACCAGCTAGTGCTGCCACCCTCACCCCAAAAAGAGAGGCTGCAGTTCTGTAGTCAAGGGTAGAGCTATGTAGTATCATTTGCACATAATGGCGACGTGGCTGCACAGGCCAGCGCGCCCAGTGGAGCTAAGCAGTGCTTTTCGCTAGCTGCACCACTGTAATGTGTCGGTAAATCCCGGATCCATGTCATATCAGTCATTTTGGAATCCTGCACTGCAGAGCATCCGAGGCCAGCGAAGCCTTTCGCTGAGACAAATGGTGAAGGCCGCCCTGCCATAGGAGAGGAGTTCGTCCATGGTACGGCCTGCACATGGAGTAGTTTGAGTGAGAGTTCCTCGAGTTCTCACAGGTAAGCAGGAGGCAACAAACTTGGGCCCCAAACCTATGGAAGTCTCGGTACAACAGACTACAAGCAGCAGAGGCTCTTCGTGGGCCACTTTCTGGGGCGACGATGCCAAGGTGCCTGATCCATTTTATAGTTCGGCGTTGTGTGTCTGGTAATCTGGGAATTCTTGAAATCAAGCCTATGTGATTCCGAATAGGGACCCAGAATCACCCCATACTTCTCGAAAAGGTTCTTCAAATGCTAGGCCTGGCTTGCAGCGAACTACTGAGATCGACAGCTGATCAGAAGAAAACAACACGGATAGCAATGAATACCAATGTGTATGTCTTCCATCTATGACGGATGACTATCACCACCTTCATGATCACGATTTCCGTCTGATTCGGTGCATGGCTGCTTCGCTGTTCACGTTCGGGCAGTCTCAACTGTCTCATCCGAGTGCTGCGCTGTCCAGGCCACTGTGGGTCTTCCAACGGGCGCCGGAGCACCAATGCAGGCTGTTTGATGTGTGACGCTTGCAGCAACATGTGGCACATCTTATACTAGAATAGTAGAAGTAGGAGGAGATGCCGGAGCAGTATCAGTAGCAGTTGTAGCAGTAGCAGTAGGAGCAGGAGTAGCTGTGGGAGGAGTGGTAGTCAGCAGTTGTTGTTGTTGTTGTAGTAGCAACAGCACCAGCAGCAGCAGTCATATGCACAAACAATGAAATAGGAATCAAACATGCTCTAGTGTCTTTAGTGGGCCACCATTAGGATTGTTTGTTTCCACAAGTGTGTAGGCTAGGTGCTGTCATTGCGGACTGCACGGACACTTGAAGCATATTCAGTTCGACTTTTGTCTTTACCTGTCAAAGATCCTCATCAGCCCCCTTGAGGTTATCCGCATACCCTCTGTCAGCGTCTGGGGGCTGAACCTAACCAATAGAGCCTTGCCTAGAGTAACCTCAGACTGGACCTTTAGTTTAGGCAAAAATCCAGTCTTTTCTTTTCGCATCGGTTCCTCTGGGTATTGGTGTAGCTTAGCATTGGGGTCTTTTGACCCTGGAGGTTGTCATGGCGCGTACGGAGGGCCAGGCGGGGCCTGAAAGACTGAAAGACTGACACATGTTGACACAGTCGCGGACAAACGGTTTCGGCGAATCTGAGTCATTGAGCTATCGGGGAGCTGGAAAAGTGGTTGAACAGGGTTTCAGAGGAACAATAGTGTATTTTTTCAGGATTGGAAATGTTTAGTGCGGATCCACATCCCGAAAACTTGCATTTCAGGCCAATCTCCAATAGCCTGAGATCCCAGCGTCTTCATGCCTGCCCAGATGCCACCACCATTCACCCCGCAACGGCATCAGATCAACTCGATCACTACATTTCACTGCTGTTATAATACTGTACGGATTAACTACTGCTCTACTTCCATTACTGTACTACTATACTACTATATTACTTCATCACTGTAATGCCACGATACCATATAACTGTATGTCAGACCAGTGCGCCATGGCTACCTTGGAATTCCAAGACGGAACGGCTGAGAGGTCTTCCGGGAACGCGTCGGGTTTGTGGTGCTCTGCATCATCGGTGCCTACTGCTCCATGAGGTCCCCGGGTCCCCTGCAAGGGTTTTTGGGACAGAGGTAAACAGGGAGGGGTTTTGGAGAGAAAGTAGTACAAAAAGCATCAACAAGTTGAGAGGGATGACATCTGCGTAAGGTTGCGTATGTTTGTGTTCTGATTTGGCAGCACATATTTTGGCAAGGGTTGGCATCCACCTGCTGTTTGAGTTTGTGTGCTTGCGCCACGCGTTGTCGTGTCCACACACGGGATGTGTCTTACTCATTGTCGTCCCCCTTGAGTAGGTAGGATAGGGAATTGCCCAATATCAAATTAAGAACCCCATATACGCCGTCTTCTATCCACTTGATATGACAATCAGATCCCCAAAGTTATACCCCATATATTCTGCCTACTTATGTAATAATAAGATCCCCATAATTATACCCTCCATATTCTAGCTACTCAATGGGGACTCTACTTCATGCCTCGCCAGGATCCTCGTTGAGCTGCGCTACATCCTGGAGCCCTTTTTGTGGGCCTTGTTTCTTGTTATGGCCCAGCCCTCAGGGGAATGGAGATGAGGATATGAGGTATAGTCAGTCTAAACTCCTTAAAGGCAGGTTATATAGGGTTTAGGGATTTAGGGCTCAGGGTTTAGAGTTTAGGGTTTAAACTCCTTCAAGGGCATGATATATGGGGATTATATAGGGAATTACTATAGGGGTGATTAACGTGGATACTAGGAGTTTGGCCTATGGCTCATTCAGCCCGCTTTGTTTTTGCAGCACTTGAAACTTGGTAGTCGGGTGTGCTCAGTGTATTGCTCACTATAGCGGGTTATATAGAGTTTAGGGCTTAGGGTTTAGGAGGGATGGGAAGAAATATGGAAACTACTAAATGGGTGATATAGGGACTAGTTCCAGGTTAGGCCTGCACTGATTGTACAAGTCTATGCCACACCTGTAGAGAATCTTATGCAGACAAAGGACCCACCATACCCTTGCTTGGTATCCCATCACCTAAGCCAGACTTAGCAAGACTATGCATACAGAATCTTAAGTTGCCATGCTCTGCCAGAAGTAGAGGCCTCATCAGTTCACACTTCAAGCAAAGAAGTTGATGAAATAAGAGCACGCCGACAATCGCATCAAACTTACTCTGAAATAAGTACTCCACTTTCCCTAAACCGTGTGGAAAGGCCCTAAGCCTAAAACTCTACAGTGGATATATTGAATTATATAGATATGTATAGAAACACGGAAGCACGGTGGAAAGGGACCGGGAGGGGATATTCCTTGCGTCGAGGCTTGGAAGCCCGTGGTGGATGGCATTGAGCTCCGCCTGGAAATGATGCCTTTGCCCTGGAGGGTACAGCCAAGAAACCCTAAACCCCTACTGGGGTTTAGGGTTTAGGGTTTAGGGCTTAACCCTAAAGACAAGAAACCCTACATCAAAGATTGAGTGAGGGCCTTGGGGGCGTAGGGTTTAGGCATTGGGATTTGGGGTTTTGGGTTGGAGGTTTCGGCTTGGCTTAGACAAAAGGGGACATGTGGAAATTTTTGCTTACCATCTTACGCCCTTCAGAAACTAGTGCAGACCTGATTGTTCACATGAGCTATAGTCTAAACTCCGTAAAGGGGGCTATAGATAAGGAATTGCATAGGGGAGTACTATAGGGGTTATGACGGGGGATACTAGGAGTTCAAACTACAGCTTGCATGGTGCCAATATTTTTTGACCTAATGTAGGAATGATTTAGCAGACGCCCTGGAGTCGATGAAGAGTAGATTATGATTTTGTGTAGATCTCAGGGGACTGGAGGTTCCCGGTCCGTCTAATTGGGGGTTTAGCGGTTTAGGGTTTAGGGGTTTATGGCTTTAGGGTTTAGCGCCTTCGAAGATGTAGCAGGTACAGACGAAGCTGACTCATGACTCTTTGGCGACAAGCCCTCTCTCCTCTGTAAGATAGATAGACTTTTGGCAGAAGCTTTCACGAGTAGGGGCGGCTTGGTTCTGAGCAGGGTATGGACTGAAAGATCTACTCTACCAATCTCCTGATTGGCTTGTTGCTTTTTTGACCCTGGGGATTTAAGTTTATGAACAGTACCAATTTCGGGCCGAAAGTCTATAAAGATTATTAAGTTAAACTTCAAAAACGGGACCTGTTGGGGTTTGTGTGAAGTCCCAGGTTCACATTAGGCAGGCACCTCCCATGTATAGTGGCTTCGAGAACCTGCTGCTGCAGCCAAATCGCGTACTCACACACTATGTGCCGAGGGCAGTTTTCAGAAATAGCCTATCGATTCAATTCCCCCTCTAAGATTCCTCAAATATTCCGAGCGTCCGCAAGGCGCTCTCCTCAACTCTGCCTTGCATACAAACCCTAAACCGCTGAGGTTGGCAGTGACGTTTCCGGGCCTTCGCTCGGACCTGCTGGGAGCTTACTACAAAAACTAAATAGTTAACGACTCCATGTGGAGAAGCAAATGGGAAATGAAGCGAAACCCCGGGTTGCTACAGGGGCTGACTGGGACAGTTACCCATATTATGGCTGCAGACTCCTTACATATTTAGCTCTGGCAGAGGAACCTCAAGAAGACCGAAATGATGTTGCTTACCCTGGGCCGATTGGTACTGTTCAAAAAGGCGTTCTGCTGAAGGGTTGTTGAAGCATTCCCCTGGAGCCCCAAATCTAAAAGCGAAGCTTGCTCTGTGCTGTGCAATCTATGGCAGTGTGAAGGCATTGGGCTCTATATTGGCCAGTCAGATATTGCGGTTGCAGAGAATAGCATCGGAAGGAGCAGAAGCGTGCTGCTCAGAGTCTAGGAATCATGTTTTAGGCAGCGGCTCCTCGAGGCCGTAGGATCATCGAATTGATGTGCCATAGAAAGATGGCTATGATTTCGTTGCGGAAGCGGTGCTTGCGTGCTGGCTCCAGCCTCTGGAAGCTAGGGCTCTAGAAATGCTCAGCGAATGATAGGAAGCGAGTTTCGAAGCTTCTTAGGTTTCTACTCCGCATATCAAACGGGTTCACGCACTGAGGCCGAAGGCTGTGCGATTGCCATGCACCAAAGGGCACGACTCCGGCGATGAGCTGGATGGTATTGATGGACAGGGCCCCGGCTCTTGTAGTCGCGTCTTCAGGCTTCGGGTTGTGGGTTCAAGCGTTCTTTGATCTTAGGTCTTAGGCCCGGCGATGGGACTGCGCAGGCGCTGTTTAGAAGGCCGAGTCTTTGTAAGTGGGTATGTGTTCCGCAAAGGTTGCCACAGGGAGCACCTAACATGCACAGTAAGTAAAATGTCATTTAAGAAATGACAGCGCGCACTGAATGCGCAAGAACGAGATCTACTCCAAAAGTTTGCTGCCACTACCACCTTTGCTGTTGGCAGGGTCAATCGAACCCACCGAGCATCAGGGAGGCTAGCTTGCCAAAGCCCTTGAAGCCCCTCTGCCAGGCCGTCGAAGCCCCCTTGAAGGACCATGAACCCTATAAACCCCAAATCCTCCCTTCAACCTTTAGGTCTTAGGGTTTAAGGGTATATTTGGATTATTATAGGGATAATGGAAAAGAAAATGGAAACTACTACAGTATATTAGGGTTATTATTGGATTATATAGGGATAATGGAAAAGAAAATGGAACTTGCTACAGTATATTAGGGTTATTATTGGGATTATATAGGGATAATGGAAGAGAAAATGGAAACTACTATAGGGTATAGGGTATCAAGGGTTTAGGGTTTAAGGTTTCCCTTCAACCTCTTTTCTTCCACCTTCGAAGCCCTTGAAGGTCTTGAAGGCCCCTCCCGTAAATGGGTGCCAGAGAACCAACCCTTAAACGTTAAAACCTTGCAGGTCCATATTATGAGCCCTTTCTCAAGGGACCTGATATACTGGCATTTCAAACTAGTCCCGCCCTTATGCATTCCATCCTAGTATTCTAGGTATCCCAAAAAGGACCCCTAATGTCTTGGAAGCCCTCTCATATGAGCTATAGTCTAAACTCCTAGTAGCCCCTTAACAACCCCTAGCATTCTCTCCTATATAATCCCCTCTATAACCCCCCTTAAGGAGTTTAGACAGTATGTCATATAAACCCTAAACCCTCACCCCAAAAGCCCATAGATGCCTGTACCTCCCCTTTGCTGGCACTTATAACCTCCCCATATGAATGAAATCCTGAATAAGGACCTTCGTAATCCCCATATTTCCCTTAGGCCCGTAAAGGGCCCCCAATCTTGAGAACTTGCCATATAATGGCTAGGCCCCCCAAAAACTGACCCCCCTTGTCGCAGAGAAGGGAGAGTGAATTCAGATGATTTGTAGTCCGGCCGACCAGGAGTCTTCCAACTGTCATACAGGCAGAATATGCCGTGCTAAAAAAACAATCCCATACATTTTTAGTTTGCATAGAACAGCGGGACCCCAAAATGGACGCCAATAGACTATAATCCTAGTTATAGGGCCAAGAAGTTGACCCCTACTTTTGGGAAACCCTAAACCCTAATCCCTAAATCCTACATAGTAGTTTCCATTATCCCAACAGAACCCCAGTATAACCCCCAAAAGGGGACCCCCAATCTTGCGAAACGCCCAGAGAAAGTTGAAGCTCAGGCGAGCTGGACTCCATGATCGAGCGGGGCAGTGAAAGGAGCGAGAGCTCACCCATGCTGCCCGAGGCTGCTCAACTAGGTACCTCAGTAGTACCCGTTTTCCCTTTTTGTCTTGGGGTCTCCTTATTAAAGCTGAATGTTAGGAAAATGGGTGCCTGTATCATTAAGGGGCTACTTGGGAACCTAGCCAATGAAGGTTCAGTTCAGGGTTTGGTGCTTATCATGGCCTAAAAATCCATTTAAAGGCAGTTAACAAAGACATGATTCTACCTTGTGAAACGGGGACACTCTAGTCCCTAATGTAGAGTACAGGGAATCATTCTAGTGTAGGCAACTCAGCTCAGTTGGTGCTTCGCCGTTGGGACTAAACACTATAGCCCTGCCAGCTCACGCAGACAGAACGCATAGGCGGTATGAGATTGACGGGCAGAGTACCTTTGAGCATCCCTACCTTTGGATGTTGGGTCCTTGGAGGTGACTGGAAGTGTTTGATGCAATGCGAGCTGCATGTTTTGAATCACTGCACCATCGCCAGGTATGCGCTAATTAGGAATCACCACAAATAATCGCCTCCCCCATGCTCTGCGCCCCTGTGGTGGCTAATTTACCACACACAAAACTCTTGCTCAACCCCCACCCTTGGACCTGAGCATGCCCACGCCCCAAGCTTGTAACCCAAATCCCTAAACCCGAATCCGAAGTAGGTCCTGCCGGACGATGCGCGGCGCCCTCGCGAGAGTTTCTTCTTGCAAGCAGCAGACTGTGGGATCCCTTCTGTGCGGGATGATAAGAGATGAGGACCTCAATTCTGATCTGCAAAAGCATCCCCCCTTTTCAGAAGACGTTATGCCTGGGACTGCAGCCTTGTCTTTTTGCCATGAAGTTCAAGTTTCCCACCAGAGGAGGCATTTTGACAAGAGGGTGCGCCAAATTGTGGTGGCCATTGTGGCATTCATAAATTGAAACCTCTACTTTGAGGGTCAGGGGGACTTAGTAAGTAGGTCAATAACCCCTATAGCCCATATAGTAACCCTAATTATTAACCTACTTCCTAAGTGCCCATGACCCTCCGAGTAGTACCCTCGCAAGCACTTAGAGACCCTAGTCTTGGCCTGCCGGCTGTTTTACCGGGGGCCCAGGGACAGTACTAGTGCTAGGGTTTAGGGTTTAGGGTTCTGTAAAGGTGCTAGGTTCCATCACGGCCTGGGTGCAATGGTTCCATCAAGAGAAAGAGAGGATGCTTTGTTGTCCGGCTTCAGTTTCTGCGATGGTATGGGTCGGGGATGCCTACAGTCTCGTTTATTACCATCTAAGGCTGCCAGGACGTCGACGACGAAGAGTGGGAGACCACCACCGCAGATGGAGGCGCCCTAGCGGGAAGTAGATCGCAGAATCACCCTGCCTCGGACCTCCGGGTACATTGGGGTTCTAGAGGGATAAGGGAAAAGAACTTGGCAACTACGACATTATAATAGGGTGTATATATATATATATAAGGTTATATAGTAATAATGGAAAAGAAAATGGAAACTACTACGATACGGGGTTGTATAGGGGTTGTATTGGGGTACAGCGCTGTCAAACCAAGCGAAAGACAAGGACAAGTCAACAGAAAGCGGTTGGTGAGAGTCAGGGCTTTCCAAAAAATTAATGGGTCGCGTTTTATTGGTCCCCATGGTGAGGCAGGATGATCGTGTTTTAGGGGTCTACATTGGGGCCCGCTGTTACTGGACCATCCCGTATACCTGAAGCCCTAGACCCAAATTGAAGGTTCTGGGAAACTATACCCTAAACCCTCTAACCCAGCCATGAGGCGCTTGAGCTCCCTCATATATGATTATAGTTGGGCAAAAACTACTGTATAATCGAGGTAAGATTGACCCTAAACCTGAAAGGGGGACCCTAGACCCTGAACTCTTGAAACCCTAGACCCTAAACTCTTTAAACCCAAGACCCTGAACTCTTTAAACCCTAGGCCCTAAACTCTGGACCCTAAAACCTAAACCTTAGAACCTTAAACCTGGACCCTCAGGGGGAGGCCGGCCATCCTTGCGGAGAGCTTTAGCCCGGGGACTCGCCGTGCTGCCAGAGTCCCAGATTCTCAGTTGTCCAGCGCTAAGGGTTTAGGAGTTAAGGGTTTAGAGTTGAAGGGTCTAGGGTTGAAGGGTTTAGGGTTAGGGTTAGGGTCTAGGTTGTATGATTGAGGTAGGGTTAAGGGTCCAGGGTTTGAGGCGCATTAAGTAGGGAGCTAGAACCGGGTAACGGAGAGTGAGCGAGACACAAAAATTGTGAAAGTGATAGAGAGACTGGGCTTTTGTAGGTCGATCCCCAGGAAACCCCGTATACCACAGAACCTCTAAGAAAAGCCTATTGCCTCCCTCATACTTCCCTTTTAAGAGCATCCTGAGAAACTGCTCTAGTAAGTGTAATCTACTTGTTTTTTTTCCCAAAATAGGGAGACTCCAACATAGACCCCAATGTACTATAATCCTTCTTCCGGGGACCCTAAATCTACAAAACCCCCATTTATCATTTCTACGCGACTTGTGGCGTGGCCATTGCCACCCAGACTGGATAGGCTTCATTCAGGGACCTAACCTGAGCCCCAAAGTATGTAGAATAACGCTATTTTGGGTTGTGTTTAGGGGTTCTGCGCTATTCTTTTAACTACCTTTGGGGTCCAGGTAGCCCCTACAGAATCCATACGAGGCCTTGTAACTTATAGCCCACTCCCCCATTCCCCAGTAAGCTCTGCGGGGACGAGTTAGGGATCTACCGCCCTGTCGTCCGCAGCCACGGCAGCTAACGGAACCAAAGTAGTTCCTTCTCCAGCTCCCCAGAAAGCCCAACACGCCTTTATTGAGGAATATAGCTTTAATCATATTAGGACCCCTGGTACCATTTCAGGGTATATCCCTTAATTTAGGGGTATTCGGCTCTCTGGGTCTAGACCAGGATTTTGCAGATCTCTCCTGTGTGGTTCATGCCAAGAGGGGTATATGCTGGACGAGGTGTTAGGGGATATAGGTACCCATTGGGGTAATATTAAGGTTATATTGGGGTTATATTGGGATAATGGAAAATGAAATTGCAACATCCCACTCGGAGCATTGGATTATCAAATCGCGAACTACCACCCCTGAAGAATGATCAGGAAGAACGTTCTTGATCGCCCTCTCAGCTCACGAAGAACGCATTGAAGCTTCGCGCATACGTAGCACAGGCCCTAAAACAGACCCTAAAAGCTAAACGGTACCCACCTAGCCTACATGGACCTCGAAACCCTAAACCCTAAAGCCCTGAAACCCAAAACAACTCTGAGCCTTGAATTAGCTTGCAGCCCATGGTCGTTTACCTGTGCTGCCAGCAAGTCGCCGGTGAGTTGCCATGCCAGGCACCAGTCTGTGGGTGTACGGCAGTTCACGTTGAATCAAGTCGGTGGTCAATTCATTGGGTTGTTCTCAAAATGTTGGGCCCATTTTTGGATACAGTAATTGTTATGGAGTATATTACGGCACCTCATAGTTAAGTGTACCAAAATGGGACACTAATTCTGGGAACCACCCCATCGTTCTTGTCTTCATGCTGATCGGGGTTGGTTTTGTGGGGAGTAGACTGGGGAGCTTCTCAGCATGGTCTTGTGCAATTCCCAAAGATAATTCCTTCCTACATCCATAAGGGACTCATTGTTGGAGAAACCCAAAATAACGGAGCTCCAGGCCAACCAAATGGCACCTGAGAAGTATTTTATTTGGGGATACTACGGTACCCAATATACAGTAAGATTATATCCTCCTTTTGGGGTATAGTATTTTATATAAGGAATAGAATCTTACTAGGTTCAACCACCAAGAAAAAGCTACTCACAAGACTCCTGCAACCACAGGTTTTGGCCTCTAACCCCAAGCATTTTGCACCTGCAAAGCTGTCATTCCTGCATTCTGGAACTCGTTCAGCCTCGGATCCACATAACAGTAGAAGCTTGAAGAACTGCCAACAAATTGCCTCATAGTTCTCACATAGTCCCCCTTAAATAGAATATGGCTTTGGGTGTATTATAAGATCCCCATATACCACATATTCTATCTACTTAAGGGGGACTATACATATAAGTAGAACTGTTTTATTATAAAACAGGTAGTACGCCTGTGGCTGGGTATATACCTGGTTTCATGTCATTTCTGTCACCACAAGAATGGTCCCCCCATGGCAGAAAACCCTAAACCAAAAACCCTAAACCCTAACCCTAAACCCTAAACCCTAAATGCAGGCCCATTGGCTCCGCCGACGCCGCAGCGACCTCCAGAGCCCAGACGGGTGGGCCAGGGCCTTTTTCTCGCTCCCCTCAAGGATCTCTGGAGCATTATCTTTTTGGCGAATCTGTGCGCATGCATATATATATATATGTCCCTATTACATATAAAACGCTATGCAACATCGGTATCTGGCATGGATTTTCTAGGTTTTTCTTCTGGTGGGAACCAGCTTGTATTGTTGCGAGTGACGGGAGCTGTGCACGTTCATCCCTTTCCACTGCGAGACTGTGCCTCTCATCCGCATATACCTGCACATGTCGCCCTGTATGTGTGAGCCCAGGGTCCGGTTGTCAGAGGCACTTCAATTCTGACGCTTCAGGACATGACCGTCCCCCAGTTCGTATGGGCACTTCCAGAACTAGAAATCCCTTTTCTACCCCAAGCTATCATAGTCTTTGTATTCGGAATCCAAACACGCACAAGAGGAGTCTAATCTGTGACAACACAATACGGCAATCATCGGTGTTCCTGTTAAGGAACTTACATATATATATATATATATATCAGGTGCCATACCACATAATGGTAACTTCATCATGCCTGCATGCTATCTGGCCCTGGTATGACCGCAATCTTCATTTCACGCTCCATTTCCTTTGCCATGTCATTCTCCAGTATGGTAATCCAGAAACACTGCGAGGTCACAAGAACTACCAATATTGTGGTGCTAGGCTCCTTGTAGAATGACTGTGTAGGTACTTCGAGTGGACTTCAAAACCAGATTGGTGATTTTTCAGGCTTCCCTACCCTACTAGTACAATCGTTACAAAATCCGGTAGAACCTCAGTTTCCGTTTTTGTTCCATCTTCTTTCAGAACCCTAAACCCTAAAACCTAAACTCTAAACCCTATATTGTATATGTCCCCAGAACCCCTTTAAAGGGAGCCTAAACCCTGGCCCAGTAGTAGCAGGAGCTACCCAGCTGCGCATTCTTTCCACGGCATCACTATGCCGCCGTGGCGCTGTCCACCGGGGATACCTTTTTTGTCCTGGGGGGCAGACACCTGGGCCCACTTTAGGGGTTTAGGGTTTAGGGTTTGGGGGTTTAGGGTTTGTAGGGTTTAGGATTTAGGGCTTAGGTTCTGGCGTTCTTCGTTTAGCGGGGTGAAAAATCAATTAGGAAAGTAAATCAGAAAAGAAACAGGGATGTTGGGGGCTGGCAGGGATGTGTAGAGTTCAGTGTGTAGGGTTTTCCTAACTGGTTGTCGTAAGTAGGGAAAGGACAAATAGAAAACAACACGGAAGCTAAAATGTAGGGTTTGTCATATAGGGCTGAGGGCTTCACCCTAACTTCTGTTTTCTTTTCGTTCGTTACTTCTCTACAACAACCTGTTAGAATACTCTGATCAAAGCTTAGGCAATGGCCGCGTCCACTTGAACGACGTTTGGTGCGCGCGACTTTGCAACATCGGTGGCTCGTCGGCAAAAGAGGGTTTCCATGAATAGGCGGCCGCAACACAGACCCCAATACACAATGAGAGTCCTCAAAGAAACCCCCTTGCTTTTGGAAACCCCGAAGCAAGGCAATCATGCGGGGCATGTCTTGGGTACAGCCCCCCACTCTGTAATAGTTGGCTAGTATGAATAATATAGTCATATACAGCCCGTAACATGCCCCCTAATGTAGGCATGTCATTGCAGCTTTCTGCGTTCTCTCCAGGACCTTTTGGGGATCTCGGAGCCCGGAGGTTGGAAGCGCCTACCTTTGAACCTGGAGGGCTATGGCCAATGCTTCGGGGGAACATTGTCAAAGGGTGTGGCTCTTCTAGGGTACCCTGTACATGAGGGGCTGCACTATACTGGGGACCTAAGATGGGACGATGCGTTTGACAACCCCTTACGGAAACCCTTGCGGAACATGCAATTTGTTAGGAGGCTGGCTGCGGCTTCTCACAGAAAACAACAAGCTTTTGTAAGCCAAGGCATGCTATATGCTCCTATTCCTTGTGAGCTCTATATCGTGATATCACCTCTTCTATGAAGATCCAAAAAAGGGATCCACAATTCAGCAACAACATAGTTTACATGTAGCTATATACAAAACATGTGTTATAAGTAGTTATCTAAATCTATATGTATATAAATATACACATGCATGCCTCGAACTAGTTTTCGAACGGTGCCATCGTTAGAACCCTCCGCATCCACACAATTAGGAACGCTGTGTATACGCAGCGATACCGTGTGTATACCAGATGTATGTCTCTGCATGTACTTATACAGACCAATGAGCACATCCGTATGTAGGCACGTATTTGGATATGTGCTTGCATTTAATCATGTAAGTATGCGTATGTGTATATATATATATATGCTCATCCCCCCCCATGATCCACCGAAAAGAATTTTTCATGAAACATCGTATTTCAG